GCTTTGGTTTCCGTTCCTGGGTCAATAATTCCTAGGCCTCCATTTCGTGGCCTCCTTGTAACATAGTGCCATGCTATCTTAGATATGCATTTGTCTCTGTTGGGGTYGCCTGTCCAAAGGTAAAGTCTAGCTCTTCGGTTCAGCTCCTTGACGGAGTTGTCAGGGACTGTCCAAATGGAGGATATGTACCACATCATTGAAAAGATTGACGTATTGAGGACCAGCGCTCGACCGATAAGAGACGTGAATGTGTTGCCCCACCTCCCTATCTTATTGATCTGTTTTGTCAGCAGAGCAGAGCCCATTTGAGGCGCTAGCCCATCTCTCGTCATTAGAATGCCAAGATATCGAGTAGGAGAATCAGGTGTCTGCCACATCATAGTCGCCTCGTCCCCTTGGAGTGAGAGGGGTTCATCTTCGGAAATCCACCATCCAATTGTTTTCCCCCAGTTGATCCTCATTTCTGAGGCTACTTTGAAGGTCTCCATTGCCTTGGCTAGTGTTCTGAACGAGGAGTCAGACGCCCTAATCAGGACCGTCAGATCATCCGCAAACATGATAGCTGTAGGAAAATCGATCTGGTGGTCTGAGCCTGCCTCGGTACTGGCTAGTCTCTGAATCGATGGGTCTTTACGCAGAAATGAGGCGATTGCCTCCATTACGAAAAGAAAGATTGATGGAGCCAGAGGGTCCCCTTGGCGGACCGAGCGGGATATCGGATAGCAATCTGATAGAAGACCATTCACTTGGACGCACCCTATAGCATCCCTAYATAGTATYCTGATCCATTTTCTGAAMTTTGGTCCTACTCCCATCTTTTCCATGCTCGCTTCCATGAAGTCCCAATTTACTTGGTCGTAGGCTTTTTCAAAATCAAAGAAGAGGATAGCAGCATTTATTTTTCTTTCCCTGATTTTTCTAACCGATTCGTTCAGTGTCATCACGTTGTCCAGAATATACCGCCCCGGAATAAATCCTGTTTGGTCGATGTGGAARCATTTGTTGKTGATTTTGGTAATCCGATTGGACAGGGTCTTAGCCAAAATCTTGTAGGGGAGCGTCAGYAGCRAGATAGGTCTGTAGTTTTTAATGTCGTCTTTCTCGCCTTTTTTGTAAAGCAGCGTGACCACACTGCTGCTGAGTAAGTTGCCCAGCCCTCCCTTAGACCAGCTGTCGTTGTAGAAGTTTAAAAGATCACTCCCTAGCAATGGCCAAAATTTTTCCCAGAATTCTTTGGTTAGTCCGTTAATTCCTGGGGTCTTGTTATTGTTCATTGTTAGAAGCGCCTGATGTAATTCTTCTGAGGTGATTGGTTTATCAAGTGCTTCGGCATGTTCTGTTGATATAGTTGGCTCCAGGTAGTGCAACATTTTCTGTCTTGCTTCTATAACACTAGCGGGTATCGGTGAGTCCGTCTTAGACTGGTAGAGTTCCTTATAGAAACTGTTGGCTATTTCTAGCATTCCTTCACTGTCTGTCCTCACCGATTCGGGAGCGGTGTGTGATCTTAATCCTTCAATCGTGGTAGCTCTTGAATTTGCTTTGATTCGGGCAAAGAAATGTTTGGTCATTGAGTCGCTGAGTTCGAATTCACACATTCTTGCTCTTATTTGAAGGCCTTTCATTTCAGATCCCACCGTTTCCACATTGCCAACTTTTCACGTGCCTTGTCGAAAATCTCGCTGTACAATGAGGAGGCTGGGTCGTTGACAAGGTTAGTTTCTGCTATTTTCAATGCAAATTCCAGTGCTTGCTTCCTCTGTTTCCTTACTGAGGCCAATTTTATGGAGACCTTAGCCACCGTGTCTGAGAGGTTCGAGTAGGTTTTTCGAAACCATTCCCATCGGGATTCAGTACTTAGACGCAGCGACCTCAGACCTCCCTAGCAGTCACAGACCTCATTTTGGAAGGATTGGCTCAGCAAAAGAGAGTTGTTGAGCTTGTGGAAGCTGGCTCCCCTCCTGATCACTTGGTCAAAGCAGATAACCTGTTCTGTTGGCTTGTGGTCCAACCCCGGGTATGGTGCAAGTGGAAGTACTTCCGCCTCCTTGATTGTCCCCATCATAACTCCTGACACTAGAAAGTAGTCTATTCGTGAGAAGGCTGTATGGTTGGCATGATTTTTCTTGATTAAAGTGAAGGTTCTCTTGTCGGGGTGTAGGATCCTATGGGGGTCTACCAAGTTGTGGTCCARCATCATTTCTTGGATTGGGATCGCCTCYRATGAGTTTAGTGAGTTGGAGGAACGAKATATGCGATCTACTAACGGGTCAATCGTGGCATTCCAGTCCCCCGCTAGAATGCAAGGGGTTAGGGGAGGAATAAGTTGACCTATCTGTCTTAAGAAACCCGTCCTCTCCGTTGGTGAGTTCGGGGCATAGATGTTGAAAAGTATGAATTCTTCTTCCTTCCATTTCAAGTGTAATAAACACCACCTCCCGTCCRTCTGGTCAGCTCTATTATCGAGGACTGTGMCTGATTTATAAAAGCGGGACGCTTTGGGAATYAGGATGGYTGTACCCTTGGTGCTGGAGYCTGGGTCGGTCGCCCAAACTTCATCCCTCAGGCCGCCTAGCTTCCTAGCAACAAAAGCACGAATTATGTCGTGGTTTGTTGATGGAGYGAGAYGAGTTTCTTGAAGCATCACTATGTCTACTGGCTTCCTRTTCCCTAGCGATAGTCCTGTCCACAGGTCATTCCACTTTTCTTCTATTTCTATTATGTTCCCTAATCCATTGACATTCCAGCTCCTGAGCACCAAACCTTGGCTCTTCCAGTCGATCCAGTTTCCCGCCTCGTTCGCTCTTCTTTTAAAGTTTTCCATAGACGCGGCTGGGGTGGGTCAAGGGGATAGCTGATCTAAGATGTCGGGTGTCTAAGTAGGGGGAGGTGAGGAGGTACCCATTAACAGGTCCTTTCCCCCTTCTTCTTGGTCAGTCTTCAGCTCCTTGTCCTCGCGGGGCAGGGGGTCAGTAGTTCCCTCCGACGACTCCTTCTCTAAATTTGACCCTCCTGTCCCCTCTGATTTCATTTGGCCATTCTCAACTTTTCCCAGATCGGTCAACCGGTCCGTCTTCTCGCGTTCATCGTCCCCCTCGCACGATGAGCAGTCTGAGGCATCACTCCTATAGAATCTTTCGCTGTCCGTGGCATAGGCTCTCGCATCCAGATCTCCATCTCCGTCCAGCTGACCTGCCTCAAGGATGTGTGCCATTGCTGTGGCCGTCAGCTCTGCCGAAATTCCAATGCCAGCAAGGAYGTTGTATGGTACTTCGGCCACCGTTCGCCAAGGTCTCCAAATCATCCCTGAACTTAACTGTGTGGACTCTGGCATCTTGGCTATCAGGGGGGAGAAGGCTCTTGGGGAGTTTCTGCCTGATTCTCCCTTTCCATTACGAACATTTTCTGAGCCCTCTTGAGTGCTGATCCCAACCAGGTCTGTCTCCATTGCAACCGTCTCGAACAGTCCCAATGGGGATTCCAACGTTACCTGATTTTCGAGCCTTTTGATCACATTTTCCCCTTCCACAAAGTGAGGGATTTGGAATGCTATGTCTGTTGCGATCTGCCACTCTCTTGCCTTTGACTCGTACCTGGCTGCGATAAGCGGCCTGATGTTTCTCAGTGTTCTGCGGGCTGCTTTGGCCGACTCCACTACCATTGGGGCTTTTCCCTCCGCAATCTGAGTGATGGTTGTGAATTCAGGTRCATATTCTTTGTTCCATTTTCTCAGTTTTTCGGTTTGAGATAGTACCAYTGCAGCTTCTTTTTCCAAAAGATCGCGCTCTGATTTCTCCTCCACTTCGGTTTGGTCATTGTTGGTGTCCCTTCTTTTCTGGTTTTTGCCTGTTTTCCTTGCCTTGGGACGCAGATCCTGAAAGTTGTCCTTGGTTGTGGGAATGGTTTTGTCCTTRTCCTCTGTACCTTGTTCCCTTGCCCTCTTCTTTTCTGCATATCTRAATGCTGCRTATTCTGAAAATTCCTCCGCTTTGGCTTTTTGAAGGACTGCGAACTGATYGGAGGAGGTGTTGTTTCCTGTGATGGCATCCTTTTTCCCATTCACCTGGGATCTCTTGGCGTGTTTCAGGCATGCTACCCGGACATCRAAAGCATGTTCCCTTTCCCKTTTTGCTTTTTCCACATAGTGCCTGAGCCAAGTTAAGGACCGTTTGGAGCGGTCTTCATCTTCTGTGGACACAACATCTGGTTTGGGAATTTTCCCACCTGCTTCGTCGTCCGCCTGGTCCCCTGTCAGATCGAACTCCATTCCTTCACCTTCTGACCCCTCTCCTGACGCGTTTGTTCCTTTGGTTCCCTTTGCCTCTGGCGGATCATCCTCCCTTCTTCTTTTCTGGCCCGATTCTTTCTCGGAAAGGTCTGTCCCCTTGCTGTAACTGACGTTTATCCCTTCTTTTGTATGTCTGCAGCTCAGCTTGTTTCAGAGCCTCTCTGAACAGGCTTGGTTCTTTGTTGTATTCCTGTTCAATCTGTTCTCTTATCGTGTCCAAATCCCACAATAGGTCTTCCCTTGCCTTTTCCTCCCTGATCACCCGTGAATCAGTAATTGGCATTGTGTTGATCTTCGTTGGGTTGCCCTTGACTTTTCMTGTTGCCTTCTTCTGCCACCTGCTGTMTGCAGGGGGRAAGATGTCTGKTTTTTTGGAGGCAGGTGTCTGATCTGTAAAGTGCCAGACCCAATCTGGTTCGTCAAGATTATCGTCAAAAACCCACCCATCGTAGAAAGAGTCTGCCACATACYAGATTCYCGGAGCATCTTCTACTTYGACCAGCATGTTGGGTAGAAGCTTTCTTTCTTTCGYTTGTTTTGGATACTTGGGACAGTTAGGGTCGTTACCCAGGTGACCYCGCTCTCTGCAGCGAAAGCAAATTGGAGAAGTTCTCGTTGATATCCTCACCTCAATTACCCTGTTCTCAATCTGAAAATTCCAGACCAGAGGGAAGACTGGAGGGTCATCTGTTTGTACATCCAAGATCGCTGTCATGGAWCCGCAGTGAGGCGCCAGGAAGTCTGGTGTAGGTAGGATCCACTTCAAGATTTTGTTTGCTGTGTACTGTCTTTCTAGCCTGTCGACCAGCAAACCGTGGAACCCCGGTTGGATGTAATCAAATTGCACCCAAAAGTTTTCCTTCAACAGTGTCTGTTTGTATGAGATTGCAAAAGCCGGGGTCTGCCTCTGCGCTGAGAGTTTTTTCCACCTTGTGATTGTGCAGACTGAGCCGTGACAGTTCCTGGATTGCATTTCTGCTGCAATCCTTGCGTGGTCCTCATCGACGAAGAGAACCATGATATTGTTACGGCCCAGATTTTGAAGTGAGAAGGTGTCCCCTATCTGTGTGAATCTCGGTTCCTTCTTAATTGTTTCGATTACCCATTTCCTTTTCTCGGCGGGCTGGAGATCTGCACCGTGGCGTGCAAAATTGAACACCACTCCATGTTTCTCATGCAGATCATCCAGTTCAGCGATCTTCTCCTCCGGATATTTCCAGACCACTACTTCTTTTTCTTTCCCTTCGACTAACTGTTTTTCCGTGGACTCAATTCCTTGGACTTTTGTCCTCTCAATCAGAAATTTTGAGGGCCTCGTTATCAATGACATTAACTTTCTTGTCTGAAGACTCCAGTTCGTTCAGCATCCCGGACAGTTTTGGGTTGTCCATCGTTTATGCTTCTAAAAATCCGGACTTGATTCCGTAAAGACTCTTTGCTGGCTGGCCTGATGACTCCTGGGGCGGGGGTGGGAGGATTGGTAGGACGAGGTGTCAGTTGCAGAACCGCCTGGTGA